TAGACATTAGAAATGAGCAAATTCGGTGTTGATTTATACTCATTGCTTCAACGCCAATAGAGAGCCACCGCCTCCCACTAAATGAGTTGTCGCTTAATTTTTTGGGCAAAAACAAGGCAGTTGGAAACACTGAACCGCTGAAATTTTATCGGCGTTTGTAATGAAGCTGTCGAGTCGCTATGCGGCTACGACTGGAGAAAAGTCAACTGCCACATAAAAAAAAGGAAAAGAAATGCTTGTATAAAAGACAAAATCATATCAAATGAAAACTACTATAATTCGACAGTAGTATATTTTTTATTACCTTGTAGGAGTAACCAGCTCAAAACATCCAACTCGATCAATAGATGATGGCGCTGGGCGGACTAAACACAGCATAAGGTTCTCTTCCATGACGGTTGGCGGCTCAGGATCAGCAGAACGATGTGAGTACAGCTAAAAGCGTGCCAGATCTATTTAGAGCCTATCACAATGAAATTTACTCACCAATTTGTTGTCTTTAATTTGAAACCAACGTCTATTCCAGGTTTTAAATGCATTCGAAGATCGCTTGTAGAGATAACCCTCCATCATTACGTCCGGATCAGGTGGCATACCAGAGAAATGTTGAAACATCTCCTAAAACATGACCTATATAAATAAAATGAATAAATGAAAAAATAAAACACAGATCCAAACTATAACCCTGATCTGCACGACGAGAATATGGAAGTGAAGACTTACTGTTTGAGGTAAATGAACAGGAACATCAACTACTGGAGTATAAAATTGGGCGGTTTTTCTCCTCGGAAGAACGCGTTTGATACCAGGACGGCGCTTCAATTTCGCTTTTGGTTTTTGACTGCTATCAGAAGTAAGTTCCCTGTATGAGCTTGACCGAGGCAAACTTTGGGACGATACCGAAAGCACATTTCGGCATTTACAAGGGACATCGCCAGCCAGATAGCTAAATCCTGATAGAGACTTCGTGCTCTTGATGGAACTTGTTGAGAGCTTCTTAAAGGAAGATGGCTGAGATGTGAGTGGAATAGGAACCCGTTTTAGTACTGTGATCGCAGGAGGAGTGTCGGGAATCTCTTCGAAAGAGTAGAATGTCGAACGGGCTGTGAGGTTGAGTTTGTTTAGTAGAGCGACAGTATGTTTGTGATCCATATGACGCCCAAAAGTAGAATATCACGGCGACAAAAAGTGTCCAGTATCGCAGTTAAAAGTTAGAAGTGACATGGATTATCATGTGTAATGAGTTGCTAGCGATCAATACGTGGCGATCGCTCGTAAACCGCAATCGCAGCATTCGATGGACTAAGCCTCGTTGATGACTCAGTCCACAACCTTCCAAACAAACAATACAATTTCAAGATTGGCGCTGTTTGTGGAGTTAAAAGAACAATTGCGCAGCTGTAATGATGGGGCAGGAGGATCTGTCGACAAGCACAAATGAGCATTAATGCAGGAACGGACAAAACTGTCGAAGGACGCCACGTCGACAGAGCTTGACTTCCTAGCTTTTCAAATCCCTTTCTGGTATTAAACCACTATATTCAAAGAGTGAACACCATGAGTTTTGTTCCCGGGAACTGACCTGATCGCAAATGCACCGTGGTGATCTCAATGCATTGTGCTTCTGATACACTCATCTTAAACTGCATAAGACAAAATGAATTCTTGATAAGAGAAGGTTTTTTCTCACGGATCTGATTATATCGATCAATACTAAAAAAAACACTCCAGAGTGTTAAACG